GGAAATTGGTAAGAGGGGGAAACAAATGTTAAAGTCATCTTAAAGTCTATTTAAAAAAAGTTTTCCCCTTTCCTAACTAAAGCAAAAAATTCTAGTACCTTTGAGAAAAATGGGCAGTTCATAGTTAAATATTCAAACTGCTAGGAATTTTTTGTTTCTTGTCTTTTTATGGAAATAATGCCGTGTGCTTTGTGCAAAGAATTACTTAGTAAAACCCCGTGCTTTATGGATTAAGAACGTTCACTTCTCTCCTGACACGCAGGTTGCCTTTTCCCCTACCTTGTTTGTCCTGTTAGGCTGCGTCTTGTGTGTACTTTTTGGTGTCTAAAAGGTCCTGGCTTCTACCATTCCAAGATCCTTGTCTTATTCTGAGATCTGATGAGACTAATTCTCTTTATTATTGTTTCATTTTTTACTGGTGACTCTTCTAGTCCATCTGGAACTAATTTTGAAATGAAGTAGGGCTTTCTTTTCTCTTTCTCATGTACCAATGTCATTGATTGAATTTTTATTTTTAACCCAGTGATTTTTAATGACACCATTATGTATAGATGTATATCTATATATCTACATATAATCCAGCTTTTTGAGTATTCTCTGTCTCTCTGTCTCTCTCTCTGGAGGGGGGGGCGGTCCTTAGCCTTGAACTCTGGGCCTGGGTGCTGTCCCTAAACTCCTTTTGCTCAAGGTTAGCTCTGAATCACTCAAGCGTTTTCTGTGATTAATTTAAGGTAAGAGTCTCCTAGACTTTCTTGAGCATGCTGGCTTCAAACCGAGATCCTTAGATCTCATCCGCCTGAGTAGCTGGGATTATAGGTGTGAGCCACCAGCGCCCGGTTTAAGTATTACCTCATTTTTACTATTTTTTTTAACATGAAGTTTTATAACACCATAAGCTATCTTCCTGTGAGCTTACTCTGTAAACATATATTTTGTTTGGTTTACTCATTTTGCTAAAGTTTTACAGACATTTGCAATCACCATCATGTAAAACGTCCTGGGTTCCCACCTCCCCCTGGCTGTTGCAGGAGTCAGCAGGGCTGTGGGTGTGCAGTCGGCTCTCCGCGAGGCTGTGGGGACGTTGGAGCTGTCTTCCCCTCTCAGGGCTGCAGGGCTGCGTAGCCTGCACTCGCCACACTCCCCACCTGTCTGAAATAGGTCCCCTTTCTACTCAACCCTACCTATTGCATTATGACCTAGCCTGCATTGTAACTGGTGTTTGATCCATCAACATTTTGACATTGTAGAAAAAGTTTGATCTTTGATAGAACTTCCTGGATTATACTGGACGATTTGTATTCTATATTTTCTATGATATAGTGTGGGAAAGAAAATGAATAATTTTTTATTTTTTGGTAGGGTACTGTCCCTGAGCTTCTTTTGCTCAAGGCTAGCGCTCTACCACTCGAGCCACAGCACCATTTCTGGCTTTTTCTGTTTGTTTGGTACTGAGGAATTGAACCCAGAGCTTCATGCATGCTAGGCAAGTACTCTACCACTAAGGCACATTCCCAGCCCCCCAAATGCTTAATTTTTGATTGCTGCTTGACTACAATCTCTTGAAATTTCTATAATTTCAGCCCAAGAAGTCATCTGAGCACCAAGAAGCAGAATAATATTCTGTAATGACATTCCAAATGCCTGAGGAATAACTATCCATGTCTTAAGATGCCAGAACAAAACACTGTCACATTTGTACAGCATTGTAGCACGTACACACAAATGTGTTTCTATTCTAATTGGTGAGTGTAGGTTTTTTTTGACTGAATTTTTTTCTTCACAAAGCTTTGATTTCATCATTTTCTTTCATTTTACCCACATGCTAATTTACATGTGGGCTATTGCTAAGCATGTTGGGGGTCATTTTACCCACATGCCAATTTACATGTTGGGGGTTTTGTCTACTGAGGTTCATTTCATTCTTTCCTTTGTCTCTTTCTGTGATTCAAATGGATAAACAAGTAAAAATACGTTCTCTGGGTTCTAGGCTCAGTACTAGGCAGGAAGACAGTGAACTTTGCTGTTCCTGATAGGGTTTTGTATCAGTCTTCCAGTAAATGCAGAAGAATGTGGAAGTTCTATTTCTTTGCTTAGACCCCAGCAACTGATGTTTAGGGAATGCATGCTCACTGGGATCCACGGTCTCTTGAGTCTTAATGGGCTCTTTACACTATCACTGTCTTAAAGTAGTAGAGATGCTCAGGTAATGAGTATTTATTTGTTTTAGTTTATTGATGAAGATCATAATAATGAAAAGCAGGAAAATATTATCAAACCTGTAACCCTAGCTCCTCATAGGCTGAGCTTTGAGGTTCCAAGTTCAAAGCCAGCCTGATCAGGAAGGTCCGTGAGACTCTTATCTCCAGTTAACTACAAAAATGGAAGTGTAACTGTGGCTTACATGGTAGGGCAAGAAAGCTGAGCTGAAGTTCAGGGCCTTGAGTTTAAGCTGGCAATGAAAAGAATGATTGCAAGTTAGAAAATACACTGAGGGCATGAGGAAAAATAAAGTATTGTGTGTACACAAAAGAAGGGCAGTCAAGTAAACAGGATGAAAATAAAACTACCTCTTTCTTAGTGCTTTTCCCTCATGTAGGTATGTATAGAGTCTGGGGTTCTAAGAATGAGTCAACGTTAAAACGATCTCTGATCTTTCTTTGTCTTTTGGTAGAGAGATGAACAGTAAAGCATTCTTGCACATGGCTATGGCTTGTTTATGTAACCCTAGAAGACAGTGCTCTATCTCCAACATAATCTCTTCACAGGATACCATTACTTGCAAGAATTGTACACTATGCAGATATTCTTATCTCATTTGTGGTTTATATACTTGTAACTGCCAGTGACTAGAAAAGCTTAGATCCATGAATAATTTTTATTACGCTGTTTTGACAGAAAAATATAGAATGTTGTTCCCTCCTATTATCTGATCTCTGATCTCCGCATAGTATAGGTCTGTGTGGTTTTAGGAAATGAATTTGGTTGCACAGATAGACTTAGCACCTAACCTTTTCCACTGAGGAGTGAGATAAATATTATAATCCTTTCTATAATCATGTGTCAACCCTAGCTCTCACCCTGAGCAAAGCTAATTTGGATTAAGCTTCCAGGAGAATATTGCTCAGCTTTATTTACACTTTTACCAACATTCAGCCTTTAATAAAATTTAAGAATCGGTTTATAAATTTGTAAAGAATATGTTTTTGAAATTTTGCACAACTAATATTTTTGAGAAGTATTTTTAGCTTTTATAGTAATTTTGCTTACACTCTGATCTTTGATAAGAAATTTTAGGATGTGGGCTGTGAGGTGTTTTGTTTTGTTTTGATTTTAGTTGTGCATTTGGCAGCTTTTGGTCTTCAGATGACTGATGACCAGTGAGGGTGTTTGGTGTGTGTTCCCAGAACAGCCAGCACTTTGCAGTCTCTTGCAGGGGGAGAAAAGGAGAGTATAATTCACATTCTTTGCTTAATCACTGCCTAAAAAGGGTAAACGTGCACGAGAAAAGGCTGGAATCATTCTTTAATTTCTGCTCTAGAGAATTTGAAGATAGGAAGGGCCTGTGGTAGAGCCAGGGTGAGTTTGAGGTTGATGGCGTAGTTTGACCTCATGAGGACACAGAGTTCTCAACGACGCTCAAGAATGTTTATTAACCATCATAACAATAAAAAATCGTTTTCTTTCGTTAAAAGAGTTCTTATTAACCTGCCAGGTTGGCCAGTGGCTTTTAGTGGGACAGTCTGTATTCTCTGCTCAAAAGATTTAGTTCTTGTGTTTGCAAAAGGCTTCTTTAGCGAAAGTGAAGCAAATACTAGATCTAGATGGCACGTGCTAACCAAGCCCACTCAGAGCTGGTGTGGAACGTGATGCCAGCTTCCGTTGACCTGTCTGTATCTGCTCCCACTCCTGTTGGCAGCAGTGCAGGGGAGGGCTCCGAGGTTAGGGTCATTTCTGGTCAGGTAGTCTGATAGGTAGGTTCATAATGGATCATTTTGGGAAGAATTTTCCCCAAGACCTTTTTTTTCCTAATAAGGATTATTATGATTTTAAAAATAATCTAGTACAAAACTTAATATTAAATGAATTTCAAGTTTTTTTTCTTAAGTGTTCTGGGTTTTATTACTCAGCCTTGCTTCTTTTTGTGGGAAGTAAGTCACAGCATGAGGGGTTTGTGTGCGTATGTGTGTGTGTGAGTGTGTGTGTGTGTGTGTGTGTGTGAGAGAGAGAGAGAGATAGAGAGAGAGAAAGTGTCCTGGGGCTTGAATTCAGGGCCTGGGCTCTGTCCCTGAGTTTTAGTTCAAGGCTAGTGCTTTAACACTTTGAGCTACAACTCCACTTCTGTTTGGGGTGTGTGTGTGTTTGTGTGTGTGTGTGTGTGTGTGTGTGTTGCTGTTCCTGGGGCTTGAACTCCCTGAGCCTCTCTGTGCTTAAGGCTAGTCTCTACCACTTGATCTACAGAGCCTCTTCTGACATTTTCTGACTAGTTTATTGGTGATAAAGAGTCTCACAGACTTTCTTGCCTAGGCTGGCTTTGAACCAAGATCCTCAGATCTCAGCCTCCTGAATAGCGAGGATTATAGACATGAGCCACTGGTACCTGGTTCACTTCCTGTTTTTAGGTAGTTAATTGGAGATAAGAGTCTCATGGCCTTTCATGCCTGGGCTGGCTTTGAACTGCAGTCCTCAGATCTCAGCTCCTCCGGAGTAGCTAGTGTGAGCTGCTAGTGCCTGGCACAGCATTAGTCTTTAATGTGGCTAAGTAGGAAGGGTTGGGGTCTAGCCCGTGGAAGGAAGGTGGGAGTGGTGTTGCTCATAGTCGCCTGTGCCTGTGTCTGACAGGCCAGGCTGTTGGGCACAGCTGGCCCCCCCTCGTTGTTCTAGCACACCGAGTGGGACTTGACTTATTGTCAGATAGTTTTCATATTTTGAGCTTTCCAGTGGATTAACTATGAGTGTGAGTATTTTTCTGTTTAATCATTACTGTTTTTTTTTATTTGTAGGAAGAAAAAAAGAAGTTCGACAAAGAGACTGAAAAGAATTACAGTCTCATCGATAAGCATTTGAATCTATCAGCCAAAAAGAAAGACTCTCACTTGCAAGAGGTAGTCATTTTATTTGTCTCTTAATTTGTTTCCAGAATTAAAAAAGTTTTAACGTCATCTTCCTTCTCTTCCTCCTTCTCCTTTCCTGCCACCTCCTTTGCCTTCATTGTGAGAGTTTTAGGGCTTGAACTCAGGGCCTCACATTCAAGCTCAGCTTCATTGGCTCATGCCTGGCACACCACCATTTGAACTGCACCTCCGGTCTGTTATTTTGCTGGTTATTGGAGTTAGAGTTTTGTGGATTTGTCTGCTTTGGGGTGGCTCTGAACCAAGCCTTCATACTCAGCCTCCTGAGTAGCTAGGATTACAGACATGAGCCACCAGCGCCCGTTACTGTTGCTTTTCTTTCTCTTCCTCCTCCTCTTTTTTTTTTAAATTAAAATTTGCCTTACTTTTGAAAACTTTTCATCCAGGATTACATAGATATCGAGGAAAACAACTGATTTTGCATTAAGAAAGAAGAGTTGTGTGAAAAGAGCTACAAAATGATTTTTATCTTACAGTGTTTGGTTAAACATGGATTCTTAGCAGAAAAGATTTTGGCTTTGAGTCTCTTTTCATAGAAGCAATAACTTTAACCAGAATTATTTGCAGGAATCTCATAATTGGCTTTTAAAATTTCTTGAACAAATGAATTTGGGTTTAGTAAATTTTTGGACCATTTTACTTTGAGGTATTAATCTTAATACCTTCATAGGAAAGAGTTTGTTATACTTATGGTAATAAATTATTTTTTTTCTTTTTGGAGGGAGTTGTATGTAACAAGAAAGGAATTTGCATCTTATCTCTTACTCCCTCTGTTTCTTGATAAATCTCCCATGACTAGCCAAGTATGGATAGAAACTTTATGTAATCACAATTTGCTTTCACTAGAAATAATGCTGTTTGCAGTTCAAGATCTTGAATTACCCTCCATTTTTGGTAGAACACATCCCTACTTTATGTACTTTCTGCAATATCATCTGCCTGGCTCTAATATAAGCCAGATGATACTTGAATGTCATTTGTTTAGTGGCAGATATATTGATTGGTTGGTCTGAAATGATCTATACATAACTTTGTCTCTCTAATTGTCTCTACTGACACATGGGTGGCGTCTGCCGGTTTCTAAAAGAGAAAGGTGCTTTTATACCACTTAATCCTCACTATAATGCTCATGTAGGGCTTTCTTCTCTCCCTGGCCCACAGTATACAGAAAAGCATGCCAGGATTACATCAGTCCCCTTACCTCCTGCCCTTCGTCTGTTTTGCAATGACAGCTGTCACGTTTATTGGCCTGCCTGTGGCAGTTTTCATGCCTCTCCTCCATTGTCTCTGCTGTCAGGTATCTGGAAGAAGAGGTTTATGCTTCCAGTACATTTCCATTTCCACCATGCTTTCTAATGAGGTGCCTCTCCCTGGCCCTTTTATAATGCACCTCTGTCCAGAGCAAATGTCATGTCTAGTTGCAGAGTGTACTCGAGGCTATGATCACTGCTCATGGTCCTTCACATGCTACCTGCAGAAGCCACCACTACATCGAGATAATAATTTTCTTCCTTAATATTTTTTTAAAAAGTTTTTGTTGCTAGTACTGGGACTTGAACTCAGGGCTTGGGCGCTGTCTCTTAGGTTTTTCTGTCCAATTCTGGCAGTCATCTACTTGAGCCACAGTTCTGTTTCCAGCTTTTCTGTGGTTAATTGGAGATAACAGTCTCATGGACTTTTCTGCCTGGACTGGGTTCAAACCATAATTCTCCTGAGTAGCTGGGATTGTAGGGGGCACGCCTTGGCTTCCTTTAGTCTATTTCCTTGTATATACAGACCATATTTCACTTGTCCATTTATTCATGTATGATGGAGGTTAGAAATCCCCCCCCCCTTTCCTCCAAAGGCTATTTGTAACACCATTCACAAGGCCATGTGCAATCATCAGTACAGGCTCAGGCAGACATTCTCAGAAGTGAATGAAAAGCACGAGCGGTCTGCAGCCCATAGGCTAGATGTTCCTCATGCCTGCATGATACTTGGATCCTTTTCGATTTCAGCTACTGTAAATAATGCTGCTGTGAGGGTATGCATAAGAACACCTGCTGCAGTCCCTGTGTTCAGTTCTTTTAGGACCACATCTAGAGCTGGAATTGCCAGATCACATGGTGGTTCTATTGTGAATTCTCTGAGGCCTGCCAGGCTCCCTTCTGCAGGGAGGGGTTCAATTCCCACCAGTACTGCACAGGAGTGGCTGTTCTGTGCCTCCCGACCACCTCAGCGCCCCACGCTGTGTGTGCAGATAGGACCCCTCCCCTCCCACGAGTGTCACGTGGTATGATCTCACAGATCACTCCCCATGATTACTTAAGCCTTGGCTTCTCCTTTTCTCAGTTGTCTTATCTTTCCCAGAGAAATGCCCAGATTAAGTACTTTCAAGAGTTGAATTAGTCACGTTCAGAAAAACAATGTCTCAAGCCTTACCAGAAGGCATTTTGGATGAGAAGTCTTCTCCGTCGCTGTCTGCGGCACTGTGCTCTTTCCCAGACTTTCCCAGGTAGGCAAGATGAGTTAGAACTGGAGTTGGGAAGAGCATCCTGACCAGCAGTGTCCCCTGTGTTCCCAGAAGGTCAGGCATGGGGAGGGCTCGGGTGTGACCATCCCCAGATGGGTGGGCAGCCTGGCTCTCCTTTGCCCTCGACATGGTGGCCTGGATGCCCGGTCTTGCCGCTGCCCTCATGCTCAAGCTGGTCTCTTAGAGGCTGTGTTCAGGACAGTGAAGTTCTGGTGTTTGGACTCCACAGATGTGGCTTGAGGTCACTTTTGAGTTGAAGGCAGTGTTCCGTGAAGGGAACCTAACACCTGGGTCTTCAGTCCTCTATGGTCAGTACCTAGTCTGTACATAGTTTAGACTTTTATTGACTGTCAGATCAAAGGAATAATAACAAATGATATGCAATGAATGGTGTTCCAATACAACTTGATGTACAAGTACATCAAAAGTCCTATTTGGCCTGTTGACAGGAGTTTACTGACCTCTGTTATAGAGAGTGTTATTTTTCTCTGTCATTAGATGAACTAACCGCAATTATTTTAATACAGGCAGATCTCCAAGTAGAGCAAAACCGGCAGCACTTCTATGAACTGTCTCTTGAATATGTCTGTAAGCTTCAGGAAATCCAAGAAAGAAAGAAGTTTGAATTCGTGGAACCTGTGAGTATTAGACCAGATGGTTGTCTTGCAGAGTTTTGTGATAGAGCAGCTTCCTCTCTAGATCTAATGGACGGTTGCTAGAGACTACAGTGCGTAAACAGGAAGGTAGGTGTCCGCCATTGTCAGGGGCGACCGACGGTCATAGCATCAAGAGTGCGCACAGTAGGTAATACGTCGTGGGCACGCGGTCCAGGTCTGCATTTGGGTGTGCAGTTTCTACCTACTTCCCTGCTGCTTCCCTTACAAATCCATCTGAAAGAATTTGTATTGGAGGGTGAGAAACGATGCTGTTGTCTTACAGGATAATCTTTATGCAAGGTTCTTTCTGAAGTTTTTGTGCTTAAACTGTGATTCTTGCAAGTTTATTTATTTATTTATTTTTTGGGGTCCAGTCGTGGGGCCCGAACTGTGGGCCTGGGCGCTGTCCTTCAGCTCTTCAGCTCAAGGCTAGCGCTCTACCACTTGAGCTACAGCACCACTTACGGCTTTTTTCTTTTTGCATATGTGGTGCTGAGGAATCGAACCCAGGGCCTTGAGCATGCAAGGCAAGCGCTCTACCACGGAGCTACCTTCCCAGCCCCTCTTGCAAGTTTATTATTATTGATTTCAACATAGTTCTAACTGCTCATGGCGATCTAAGTTGACTGTAAGCTGTTTGTGGAATATTTCAAGCAATTTTTTTTTTTTGGTCGGTCGTGGGGCTTGAACTCTGGGGCTGGGCACTGCCTTTCAGCTCTTCAGCTCAAGGCGAGTGCTCTACCACTTGAGCCACAGTGCCACTTCTGGTTTTCTCAGTGGCTTATTGGAGATAAGAGTCTCATGGACTTTCCTGCCTGGGCTGGCTTTGAACTTCAACCCTCAGATCTCAGCCTCCTGAGTAGCTAGGATGACAGGTGTGAGCCATTGGTGTCCCACTTCTATTTCAAGCAGTTTTATGAGTGACTAGCATTTCTTATCTTTCTTTCTTTTTTCTTTTGGTCCAAGACCAGGACTTGAACTCCGTACCTGACTTTTGTTCATTGCTAGCACTCTACCAACTGAGCTTGACTCCAGCTGCTAAGGTTTCCTTATACTTCTGTTAGAAACCATGACTTTCATGGTTTATGCGGAGGTTTTCCAATAGCCTTAGTTACATGCTAATATGCATACTTAAGCATATATGTATCAAACTATAAAGGGCATTTCATATGAGTTATAGTCAAAAAATTAAGAAACATTAGAATTTATGATTGTCAATATTAAGACTTAGAATTTTTGGTGTTTTTTCCTGATAACAGCTTTTTGAACTGTAATTGTAGTACTATATACTGTTTTATGAGTATGATTTTGAGAAACAAAGGAATAACTAAATATTAGTTAGAAATCCAGTTGGAGCAATAAAATTAACTTAAACAATTAGAAGACATTAGGTCTCCCTAGCACAGTGACATACTGAAGTCATTATGGCACAGGTGACCTGGGCATTGACTGTGCTCAGTCATGGTTTAAGTCTTTGTTCTGAGTACTGTCTTGGTCACACCCTCTTTGATTCCGTGCAAGAACTTCGTAAGATACTTTAGTTATCCCACTTAGCACATAAGGAAGTATAATGGAGACAGTTTCTGTGATTTTACCCAGCATTGTGTCACAGGGATACAAGTGATTGCTGCGGTTGGGAGTGGACCATGACTGGCTGTTGGACGTCAGAACCGCCCATTCCTGCCTGGTATCCCAGGCAGTGTGCTACAGAAAAAGATTATTGGGATTTTCTTTGCTCTCTCCCCGAATCCGTTCTGCTCATTTGAGATACACTCAATGGGGGCAGAAGCAGCTGCCCTCTAATTAAGAGAGGCCAGATTGGGAGTTGGTAGAAAACTTCAGGGTTTAATTAGTAGCCTGACTTCATCCTGGGCAGGTCACTGAACCATCTTGTCAACAAAACAGAAGTTGTACTGTCCTGGGTGCTATTACAGTCCAGCGTTTTGATCCATGGACCTTTCTTGTAGACTGAATTGACCCACAGAATTAAGGTTTTAATTACTGGTGGAAGCTGGGATCCTTTTGACAAATGAGGACAAATGGATATGACCTCCAGTTATCAGAGCATATGTAAAAATTGCTTCATGGTGCTGGTATTTAAGAAAAATACCGTTTTTTTCCCCTGAGAAATGATATTTCAAAGATCAATAATAAATAATCCGTACTTAGACTTACCTGAATTCTGGTGACTTCCTTTGGCTTGCTTAGGTAAGGGGGAGGAGGGGGGTGGGGCGTACTCTGCTGCTGCTCAGGTTCTTTGTCCTCCTGGAGGTGTGGGGGAATGTGCTCATGTCTGTCCTCTTTGTCCTTTGTCACAGATGCTGTCCTTTTTCCAGGGAATGTTTACTTTCTATCATCAGGGACATGAACTTTCCAAAGACTTCAATCACTACAAAATGGAACTACAGATCAACATTCAGAATGTAAGGAAATGAAATCTTTATAGTATATATTAAAAAACAGCCCTCCCCCCCCCCAACGTTTGGAAGGTGTATTGATCACGCATTTGGTGTATTAGAAAAACCTTAAAGGCCAAGCTGATCTGTAGATACCGAGAAAGTGGGGATCGGTTGCCCCCTAGCGGTCATCAGATAACATAACCATCTGCTCTGCAGTTCATTGAGGCTCCAGAGATGCAGCCACCTGGTGGCTTTTCCTCAACCTCCAGCGATTTCTGAAGATAAGCTTCTCAGACCCCTGTGAATAAAACTGGCAGCAAAACTTAGATTTAAGGCTTGTAAATTATAACGAAGCGCATATCTTCTTTGTTAACTGTGCCTCATGGTTTTTATTCATAGATAGTCTTGGTGTTTGAGTGGAATTTCCTCCCTCCATTCTTGGCACGTTCACTGTGTGCTGGTGTTCACAGGTGGTAAATGCACACTTTTCCATCAGGTCTTGGATACAGAGTTCTAGGGAACTTTTATCTAATTTTGTACATGTACTCAACGAGGTAAGCTACACATTCCTAGCCTTAGGATGTGAATGAACTTCTTTTGTGAGAAACAGCTCCCCGTCTTGCCCAGACCGGCAAGTACTTCTCTGGCCTTAGCTTCCTGAGCCCCTCATTGGGACTACAGGCACTGCCTTTCGGCGTTGCTTCTTAGGTAATTTCTTTCTCTTTGGAAATCCTGGCATCTTGGAAGCACCCGTTTTGCTGTATCTTGATGGTGACATCATGTACTTCTTTCTTGGCTATTCATCTAATACCCCGATGATGTCAGCTTTTAGAATAATAAGGGGAAAAAAAAGAATAATAAGGGAATAAGGCTATATAGAGCTGGGAGAAATTCTAGTCATATGGTTGTTTTATTGTGACATATGTGAAATACTATATAACATTATAGATAATTTGGGGGAAGAATTTAGGATTTTACTATAGTAAAAAAATAACCTTAAATCACAGAACTATATTCAGAAAAAGGTAGATGATTTAAAAGCAAAAATGGTCTATTTTTTCCCCATCCAATGACACTGTTTCTATTATAGATACGGTAAGACTTTTTTTGGGAGATTTGGTCCTCATCCATTTTCTATAATCTAGAATAATAAATGGAAAGCAAAAAAGTGGCTGGATGGCTTTTAGAAAATAGATTTTCCAAAAGAATGGAAATTGCATCAAAATTAAAGTATTAAAAAAAACTAACCTTAAGCTCTGTGCTTGGAAGAATATGGAGCAAGAAAGAATAGAGCGGAGTTGTTCACAGAAGGAAATGTAGTGAGCAAGTTTAAGACTCACAGAGAGGCCCTAAAGAAGCTAGCTGGACACTGGTGGCTCACGCCTGTAATCCTAGCTACTCAAGAGGCTGAGATCTGAGGATTGTGGTTTAAAGCCAGCTTGGGCCGGAACATCTGTGAGACTCTTAGCTATAGTTAACCACTCAGAAAACCGGAAGTGGTGCTGTGGCTTACGTGGCTTGAGTTGAAAAGCTGAGGGACAGCACCCACGCCCATAATTCAAACCCCACAACCAACAACAACCAAAGAAGCTAGGAGCAGTTAATATGGACAGATACTTTCCTTTGTTAGAAAATAATTATTGTGATATCTGAGTGACATAACTATAATGAAATAATGCCACTAATATGAACTTTACCATGTGTCAACATCATCCTGAATAGTTTTATTTGGCATATAATAGTCTTCATGGAAGTCCTGGAGAGGAGGTTTTCCTTGCAGTCCTGTTTGGTGGAGGAGGTGGAGCCTGGGTGAGGAGCACTTCTCTTCCTGAAGCCATGTTCCCAAAGGGCAGGCCAGCACGGGACTTGGGCAGATACACCCTCAGGGCTTGGGTTGGTAGTTTCAGGTTCAGTGCTGGCCTCAAAGATGAGTTTCTTCCAGTGTACTAGGGTTTGTTTCCACCTCTCACTGTTTGTGATAGAGTCTATTTGCTACCTGCCCAATGGAAGGCCTCTGATGGGTGTTTCGTCCTGGTTAGCTGTTTACCAAGCTCCATGTGCACCAAGCATTGGTATGATGATGTGAGGTGTGTGTGTGTGTGTGTGTGTGCGTGCACTAATACTGGAGCTTGAACTCAGGGACTTGGCGCTCTCTCCTTTCTTGCTCAAGGCTGGTGCTTTCTCACTTGAACCACAGCTCCACTTCTAGGTTTTCTGGTGGTTGATTGGAGATAAGAGTCTCATGGACTTTCCTGCCTGGGCTGACTTTGAATCTTACTCCTCAGATCTCAGCCTCCTGAGTAGCTAGAACACAGATGTGAGCCACCAGTGTCCAGCTGAGATCAGTTTTAAGATAGGGACAAGAAATTCTGGGGGTGTGAGAAGTGGGAAGAAGAGATAGAGATGGTACCACACATCATTTCTACCTTCTTTGTAGTTTTTTTTGGTCAGTCATGAAGCCTGAACTCTGGGCCTGGGCACTGTCCCTCAGCTCTTCAGCTCAAGGCTAGGGCTCTACCTCGGGAGCCACAGTGCCACTTCTAGCTTTTTCTGCTTATGTGGTGCTGAGGAATCGAACCCAGGGCCTCATGCATGTGAGGCAAGCACTCTACCACTGAGCCACCTTTCCAGCCCCCTTCTTTGTAGTCTTGTGTTTTCTAAATGCGCATAATTTTTGGTTTTAGCTCCTAGTCTATGTTTAAACCTCTGCAGGCAAGTTTTCCTTTTTACAATCTGCATTTATCAGATTCCCCATCTCCTGATAATGAAGTACATTTTCCCACTCTGGGGACCTCCTGGCTACCTTTTTCATTGAAGGGAGGAATCTCAATAATGATTTTCCATGTCAGCTTTCCACAGCTGCTTGTCAGCAGTTTTTCCGTATTAACACAATTATTTTACCTCTGGAGGAAAGCGATGTCCCTGCCCTGGGCAGTGCTGAGTCGCGGTGGTCTTGGTAATTCTGTCCCTTTCCACTCGCGTCCGGGCTTTCGGGGAAGCCGCTTGACAGATATTGGTGACCCATGACTCCGGGGGTTCAGAGATGTGATTTGTGTCCTAGGTAGTTGTAGGGGTGATTCTTTCCCCCTTCCTTCTTAGCGGGGAGGGGGGGCGGGGGGGAGAGCGTGTTTCATGACCTGGAAAAATAGACACTCATTTTTATTAATTTACAAAGAATTGTGAAATGTTAGCAGAATCTTAAGTGCTCACATTGCATGTAGAACACTGAAAACTTGAGAGATTGTTGTAAATTACATACTTTCCAGGTTGATATTTTATGACCTGTGCACGTGTGCGTGTGTGTGGTACTGGGATTTTAACTCAGTGTTTCCTACTGCTAGCTGGCACTCTGCCACATAAACCACATCTCCAGCCCCTTCTTGCTTTAGGGTTTTTGTTTCTTTTTCAAGTAATGTCTTGTGTTTTTCACCCTAGGCAGTCTTTTTTTTTTTGCCAGTCATGGTGCCTGAACCCTGGGCCTGGACACTGTCCCTCAGCTCTTCAGCTCAAGGCTAGTGCTCTACCACTTGAGCCACAGCACCACTTCCAGCTTTTTCTGCTTACGTGGTGCTGAGGAATCGAACCCAGGGCCTCATGCATGCAAGGCAAGCGCTCTACCACTGAGCCACCTTCCCAGCCCCTCCCTAGGCAGTCTTTAAACTGCATTCCTCTTAACCTAAGAAGGCATGGCTGGAATGTCAGGCATTCCCCACTAGGGCCTGGCTTATTTGTTGAGATGAGGTCTCATTATCTTTTTGCCTGGACTACCCTCTCTCTAACCAGGATTTCCTGATCTCTTCCTCCCAAGTAGCTGGGATTACCTTTGTGAGCCACTCTGCCTGGCAACTCATTGTCTTGTTTTATCGTACGTTTTTTCCCTTTGTTTTGGGGGGCTGGTACCAGGGTTTGACCTCAGGGCTCATCTCATGCTCTGACTTGAGCCATTCCTCCAGCCTGGTTTTTTGCTGGTTGTGTTTTGGAGACGGGATCTCCCATATACTTATTAGTGTACATTATTAGTTTTTTGGGGGGAGGAATTTAATTTTTACATCTTTACACATGTTTATACTGTGTTCCAATCAGTCTTCCCCGTCCATCACTGTCTTTACTGTATTTTAATTAGAGTAAACCTGCTTCACTTCCCCTGGGGCTGTTTGAACAGCTGCGTCACTCACTGTGTTAGCTTCACAAGTTCAGAAGTTACCACCAGGCGTTTGCTCTCTTTGACCATAAAGGGTAGGAGATGGGGAGTTTCTTTTTCCTTTTTTTTGGGGGGGGTATGTGTTTGGTTTGGTAGCAGACCTGTACCCCTGGAGCACATCCCCAGCTCACGAATGGGGAGAACAATCTGATATATACGTGTGCATGTGTACACATGCACGCACACACACGGAGACCTCCCACAAATTACATTTATTTACTCCATAAATAAATAATCTTATTTACTCCTCGCAAGAAGCTGAAGTCTGCCCGCCTTGTCTGCGTTTCAGACACGGAACCGGTTTGAAGGCACCAGGTCGGAAGTAGAAGAACTGATGAACAAGATCCGGCAGAATCCCAAAGACCATAAGCGCGCCAGCCAGTTCACCGCAGAAGGCTACCTGTATGTGCAGGAAAAAAGTAAGAGGCCCTCCGGGTTGGCTTGGGGGTGGGTGGAGATCCCAGCACCCATTGGTGCTGCACCCTGCATTCCACTGAGCATCCTGAAAACACTGGGCAAAAGCGGCAGCATCCACACCCAGTACGGCAGACTCCGTCACTGTCCCACGAATGCAGTTCTGCCGTTTCTGCTGCGTTTCCTTCCTGTTCCATCCTGTAAGGAAGCGTATGGGAGGACGGATGGAGGTTGTGTGTCAGTGGTGTGGCCTTTTAACCGAGAGGCTGGAACAGCAAGGCTTTGGGGAGTTCTGCAGCCTATCTGGGGACACCTGGGGAGGGCTGGCTGTAAAGCCTGGTTATTTCCATAATGACCATAGCTCTTTGGAAAATGATCCCCACTGCTTTTTTGCCCCATGCTATCCTGGAAAATGTAGTTGGGAAACACCTTTCTCCTGTGGAGTGGGGGGTCTGTGGCCTTGGGAACAGCTGCTCTGCAGCCACGCCAGCCCCCTGTGCTCCGCTCCGTGACCCAGGAGCGTGCTCATGAGGGGTCCAAGGTGGAGAGTGGGGTCAGATTATGATGGTGCACTCTTTACCTCCTGTCCTCTCTTTCTACTCCTCTCTCTCTCTCTCTCTCTCACACACACACAGATGCATTCTCCCACCAACCTCATCTCATATACACACACCCTTCCCCCACCCTCATAGTTAAGAACAAGAGGGGAATTTCTTTTTCCCTTTCCTTTCCTTTCCTTGCCTTAGTCATGGGGCCTGAACTCTGGGCCTGGGTGCTGTCCCTCAGTTCTTCAGCTCAAGACTAGCGCTCTACCACTTGAGCCATAGCACTACTTCTGGCTTTTTTCTTTTTGCTTATGTGGTGCTGAGGAATCGAACCCAGGGCCTCAGGCATGCAAGGCAAGCGCTCTACCACTGAGCCACCTTTCCAGCCACTGTACCATATTTTTGTCAACCAAAGAACACAGTCTTAAGCCTTTCTAACACAAATTCCAGTCATTTCCACATACAGGCCTTGGCACTGGTGATGGCCTAAGATGACCTTTATTGTGCTCTGCTGCCGCCTTTTATCTTTTTTTTGCCTCCCTAAATGGATTATTATTGGCTAATAAGTTCTTTTTTCTCTTCCTGATATTGTTTTTGACATTCCAGTTAGAAGGTTTATTTTGTTTGATTGTGTAGGGATAAAACATCTCAGGGAAAGAAAAACTGCTAGCCTTTATGATTCATGACAAATAGGACTTTCCCCCCCCTTTTCTTTTGTTTGGGGATTGAACTGGTGACCTGTGCTCTACCGCTGATGTAGACTTCGTGGCCTCTGAAATTCCACATGCTTAGTGACCCCAGTATGGGCTGCTGTCCTTGAAGAGCTCTGGTTATGGCCATGCCGACTTCCTGCCAAGAGTTGGAACTGGGTTCTGAGGATGTTTTGGTGCATCTGTGGACCACTCTCCCCTTAGTCTTACATTCCATGTTCTTCACTTCTCCTTTGCTGTAGCTCATCCCTCCCCTCCCAGCCCCACCCTGGGTGTTAGGGATAGAGCCTGGGGCCTTGAGTAAGCTACATCCAAATCCTACTTCAGTCCTGAAACTTCCTAGTCATCTGTAAGGGCAGCTGTTACCGGTGCCTTAGTGCGTTTAGAGGAGGTGCTGTTTTGTTTTGTTTTAATTGTGACAGTGCTCTTATTTCTGCACTAAGAGTTTCAGAGCAAGAATCAAAACCATCCCATAGATGAAATGGAACTTTTGGAACCCCGTGAGTTCTTAATGCCTGGAAACGAGTAAAATACTAAGCTGAAAATGAAGAGATTTTCAAGTAATAGTAAATGTTAGTTTTTCTAGTCTTTCAGCCACGTCTGCATTGCTGAAAGTGACTTGAAATCTTCCCATGAAGTATCTCCCTGGCGCTCCTGTTACCTCACGCTTTTCTTTTTTCCTAGAGCAGCAGGATGGCTGATTGGTTTTCATGGAGCCATATTTGTTGCTACGTTTCGGTGTTTTTCTCTTTAGTGATGTGCTTAGAGCTCCGTATAGCTGCTCATACAAAATTGTGTATTTTGTTGAAGGGCCTGCTCCATTTGGCTCCAGTTGGGTCAAACACTACTGCATGTATCGGAAGGCAGCCAAGAAATTCAACATGATCCCATTTGAGCACAGATCTGGGGGGAAACTTGTAAGTATTTCATTTCTTCTTGTATTCTACACAGGATGTATTTGCTGTGGGGAGTGTCATTTGAGAGGCTGATAGTCACTTTTATTTCATTTGTAGAATTAAAATCTCGGTTTCCACACAGGCCAGAAAACAGCACAGTCCTTTTTTCTCTTCTTTTCTGAACTGTGCGCACACACGCATGACCGTAGAATGCTCTGTGTCCCTACTTTTGGAAGGTGAAGATGACATGGACAGCGAGCCTCCTGGCTCCTGTGTTTACACGGGGTGTCTGGCCTACACGTAACATACTAGATATTCATAGCCCCAAAGACGGTAATTAGCATGATCGGTAGAGACTTTGACTCTTCTTCAGTTGACATACAGAGTTTTCCTGTATATGTTTATTCCCTGTTCACAAAACTGTTCTTCCCAAAGAGGTGATGTGCTGAGCAAGTATGAGTAAGTAAGAAGACCCAGGCGTTGGCTACATAGAAAGGGTGGCCTTAAATAGTTGCAGCTGTAACAAGAATTGCCGGTCTGGAGAGAAAACTGGAGCCTCTGCTACTGAACGTAATTGCAGGAAGCAGGTCAAGGTGTTTCTTTACTTACTGGGTTGGGTGGCTATAGTTTTGCACAAGTCAATACAGAATTGAGGCAAGTTCACCACTTGTGTGCCTATACTTTGCTACTTTGTGAAACAGGCATAAAGCAGGAAGCAGTAAACACGTGTTTATGGGATGACGAAATGCACATTGAAATGTGGGTCAGGACAGGAGAGGAGGCGGGAGAGCGGTGAAAGGCTGATGGGTTCACAGAGGGTGTGGCCTGCAAGTGTTGGTTTGCTGTTAGAGTGAATTCAAGTCTTAAGACGTCTCTGCTTATGACATATCTTTCTATTTCAGTTTCAAATGATAAAAAAGCATACATTTTAGATTTAAGGTGCAATGTTTGGAATATTCACCCATTTGAGTATTTCAGTGTTATTTGGAGCTCCTCATAGTCCCAGAGTAGTCTGGAGGACTGGCATCCTCACATAGCTTACGGCTGCTCTTAACTGAGCACCTATATTCTCCGGGTGCTTCTGTCTCCTATCTTCCATACTCTCTCTCTTTCTCCCACTACTGGGGATTGAACCCTGGGGGCTTGGGCATGCTTGTAGGCAAGCATTCAATCACTGAGGACATTGTTAATGCCACATCCCCCTTTATTTTGTATTTGTTAGAGATAGCCTCACAAAGCGGACTGGCCCGAGCTTGCTGGGTAGTGCACTCTGGCCTTGCACTTCTCATACCCCTTCTTGCTTCCAACTCCTGAGTGTTAATACTGCAGGAGTGTGCCACCATGTTTGGCTAGTTGTTGAATCAGGCTTAACTTCATATTTTTTTTTGTCGGTCGTGGGGCTTGAACTCTGGGTCTGGGCGCTGTCCCTGCGCTCTCCAGCTCAAGGCGAGCGCTCTACTGCTTGAGCCACAGTGCCACTTCCAGTTTTCTAGTGGTTTATTGGAGATAAGAGTCTCACGGACTTTCCTGCCTGGACTGGCTTTGAACCGTGATCCTCAGATCTCAGCCTCCTGAGTAGCTAGGATGACAGGCGTGAGCCACCGGTGCCCAGCTCAGGCTTAACTCCCTAAAGCCTTTCCAGAGGGTTGTATAATGAGTTAGAATGCTATTACAGTAAAAGAGGTAAGAAGTACAAATAAATCCAGGGTGATTCATTTTTGAAACAGGAAAGCTGCATCACCAAATGGTTACACCCTCAAATTGTTATAGCTATTGATGATCATAAGAACTAATTTAGGCCCTAACATATTGGGGCTGGATCCACATAGAACTCAGATTCTTGTAGGTCCAAAGTTATCACAAATTGTGACATGATATAATATGAAAATAACACCATTAAAAAAAAAAGTACGTTAAGCCAGGTGTGGTGTTACGTGTCTATAATCCCAGCTAATTGGCAGGTAAGAGATGGGAGAATCACAGACGAGACCAGCCTAGGAAAAAGTGAGAGACCTTATCTGAAAAATAAACCAAAGTGAAAAGGAGGCATAGCTAAGTATGGAGTGATAGTGCTTCACTAAATATAAGGCCCTAACTCCAAACCTCCCTCCTTCCCCTTTCCCCTGCACATCAAATATTACATCAAGAGTCGAAAAGATACTCCAACACCTGAAACGGCAGATGATCTGCCTTTTGAACAGCACTGGCTAAATAATAATCAGAGCAAGGTCTAGGGAACCTTAAAAATAGAATAACAAATGATAGTATTGTAGATTCTAATTTATGTTTCAACCAACTGGTTGAAAAGACAATAGAGAAAATAGGACTAGGAATCTTAAACCTGGCGTCTCTGCTCCGGTAGGTGCGGTGCCTGTGCGATGTAGTTTTAAGAGTAACATGCTTGTTTGCAGGGGGATGGAGAAGTATTCTTCTTGAAGGAATGTACCAGAAGGCATACGGACTCCATCGACAGGAGGTTTTGTTTTGACATTGAAGCTGCTGACCGGTAAGTTATAGAATTATTGGATATAATAAAAGAATTATTTACAGGCACAATTAAAAAATAGAGGTTCATTTCAACTGCGAGTTGCTAGGCCTTTGAAATAGATTATTTATTAAACTTGCAGGCTATGTGTTTATCGATAAGTAAGCTGTTTAATCTTGATTATCATGAAACTGGACTTTGAGTAGTTCTGAGTCTCTTTAAAAGTGTGTGTGTGTGTGAGAGAGAGAGAGGGAGAGAGAGACATTGGTCAAGATACATTGTACAGCTAGAAGAAGGGTACAGCATCAGGGAAACGGGGAAATACACAACATCAATTACACTGGACATGGATGAAAATGAATTAAGCAACTCAAGGGCAGAGATGGGAGGGAGGGAATGAGAGGGTACAGCTAACACAAGCAAAAGGAAAGAAATGGACATATCACCTCATGTGGAAGAAATAGTTGTATTGTCAAAGCTCATAGAATTCACAAACTTTGTAGCCCATGATGATGACAGTTTGCTTTGTGAAGGTTAAAATGTGTGAGCCAGGTGCTGGTGGCTCACACCTGTAATCCTAGCTACTCAGGAGGCTGAGATCTGAGGATCACAATTCAAAGCCAGCCCAGGCAGGAAAGTCCGTGAGACTCTTATCTCCAATAAACCACTCAAAAACTGGAAGAGCTCTCGCCTTGAGCTGAAGAGCTCAGGGACAGTGTGCAGGCCCAGAGTTCAAGTCTCATGACCGACCAAAAAAAAGAAAAAGTGTTTGTGACAGAAACTATCTCACAATACTGTGAAATATGTAATCACTTAATCTCAATAAAAATTATTTAAAGATACAATGTACCCATAAATTGACAGGTTGAATTGAAACTCCTTTGTACAATTATTTAAAGATAATAAAAACAATAATAAAAATTACTATCCCCTTTGATCAAAGTATATTATGTACATGTATGAAAAGATAACAATGAAAACACCTTTGTACAATTAATATGTATCAATAAAAAAGAAGAAAAAGTTTGAGAACCTGCAGCGAAGATGCTTTTGCAGATATAGATGAGCCTCCAAGAGCTTTCTTGTTACCAGTGGGGAAATCATGTACTCCTTTCTGGGAGCTCAGGCTGGAGCCCTCAGCCCTCGGTAGGCAATGGACACTGTTGTTCTCACTGTTGGAGCAAACCCAGGAGGGTGTGGGTGAGGGGTGAATGTAGTGAGGCCCCTCTGCAGGTGTGGTGATAATGGGAAATGTGAGTGAGGCAGACTCTTACCTGATCCACTCCCCCGATGGCTGCTGGCCAAAGAGACTGCTAGGAATCAGGAGCTATTTGTTCTTTGTCATTAGATGGTGAATTCCGGGAGAGGAGGATGCATGCCTCACTTAGCATTACTTGGCACTGTAATTCCAAGTGCAATACTTTATCTATATCTATATCTAGATACAGATATATATGGTGGGTGATCACTAAACGTGTGCTGGATTAAATGAAGTTGAACTGTTGCTCAGAAGTGACAGAACTGAGATTAGATTCAATCAAGCACCTGTCAGTCAACCATGCTTTTCTTTTCTGCCACACCTCTCCAGGGGTTTCATTCTGGCTTCCCTGTTTTCTTTCTGCCCAAGAAAAATAAATGTGACCTATTATGGAGTGTGTGGGTATTGTAAGCGGAGTTTTCTCAGCCTTTCTGCTGGCAGCCCCTGTGTATCATGTACACGAGTTGGCTTCCTATACATGAATTTTTCCTTCTTTCCAAGTAGCTGCTTCTGCTACATTGTCTTGGGAGCTAGCCGGTGGCTGGGTGAGGGACACAGGCCCTTTATCCCGGCTGTGTGAGGGATAAGAAGGTGGATGGGAATCTTAAAATGAGGCCACCTTGGGGAAAAACTTGAGACCCATATGAAAAATAACTATACCAAATAACTAAACACCACCTCAAAGCAGGGTAGGGTGTGGGCAGATGGAAGAGTGTTTACCTAGCAAGCCTTGAGTTCAAACTCCAGCCCTGCTCTAAAAATGAAAAAAATTGAGCAGTCAGGAAACATTGCAACAGCTGGTGATACTCAGTGAGTCCGGGCTTGCGTTCGATCTGTGTGGCATTTAGTTTGGGTCAGTTTTGGTTACATAGCAGAAGGCGCGTGGTGGCTTAACCATGGCTTCATCTTTGCACTTGTTTGGGAAGCCAGGGGCAGCCAGATCAGGGTCGATGGAAGCCTGTCGGTATCTGGGAGTTTGGAGGAGAGAGGGGGAATAATGACTAATGGATGTGAATCTTTTCCCGCTGGGATGATAAAAATGTTCTAAAAGTGATTTTGGTGATGGTTATACAAGCGAGTCTGCGAGTACCTAGAAAGCTGTTGAATTGTGCACTGCAGTGAGTCGATTTTTTTTTATGGTGTGAATTATATCACAAAAAGGTTTTCTCGACAAAAAGGAACATAGCTGAAAATAAAGAACTACAACAACTAAGATAGGAGCCTTACTTTATTTCATTTTTTTGAGATGGAGTCTTGCCATATTACCCAGACTGGCCTCCAAGTCAAGATCCTCCCTCCTCAGCCTTCCTGAGGGCTGAGATTACAAGTATGAAGCTCCACAGGTGGCCTTCTAATGTAAGGGTCTGGAATGACTCTACACATCCACTATTGTATGCCAGCCACATTTCACACACCACAGGCTGTAAGGTGATTAAGTTACTCATTTTGTGTTGGGGAAATTGTGTGTGTGTGTGTGTGTGTGTGTGTGTGTGTGTGTGTGTATGGTTGTTGTCCTTGGCAAGCTGAAGTCTGCTCAGATAATACAACTTTCCTCCCCAGAGTGACATCTTCTCCCACCTGACCTTACTCTTGGGTTCCCTGGTATTGCTTGCCGCACGCTGGTCTGTGCTGTGACCCCTTCCCCCAGCTTGACCAAGAATTACCATTCTGTGAGCTTCTCCCACTCGCCACACTCGGACTCTGCCCACAGAAAACGCTTCTCATTTTGCTCTCACTGCTGTGACATTCCAAAGACTATATTTGCTGTGGTAGACTGTCACTCCTGAAAGGATGGTTAGATACTTCTTGCTTTTATAATCTACCCATGTGTTCCTGCCCATGATTAGCTAGATCTGAAGTGGAGGCTTTTCCACTGAGGATTTCATGTGGCATCTAGGAGTGTGGCTGGGGTCCTTCCTCAGTGCACGTAGTGAGGAGCTGGTTGCTTCTAAGAAACCCATGCGGTTGGACGGAATAACAGTAGGAATGTCTGCGAAACACATTACATGATGGCCGAGTATTTTATAGTACATTTCATTCCAGCGCCCAAACAACTGTTAACTGTTTGGCACTGAGGCAGAAATAAATTAGCAATGCAATGAGGTCTGACTGTAAGGGAACTCATAGGCTAGCAGACCAGCGGGGCTGGCAAACTTGCCAACTTACAAGTCATTTTTAAATGGAATCTTGTCATCATCTTTTTGTTGTTGTTGTTGTTGTTGTAGTAATAGTAGCAGGGTTTCTCTGGTCAGGGGTACGCTAAGCACCTGCTGTGCCACTGGGTTGCAACCCCAGTTCCCAACTTGGCTCTTGAACATTAGGGTAACAGTTTAGAAACTAAGATGTAGAGAGGCCCCAGGCAAACATGTTGAGATAAGAACCAGAAGTGGACAGTTTTGCACCTACCCAGTGTTTGGCAGTGTCTGCAGACCCTTTAAATAAAGGTCATCCTTGCCTCTGTGGTGATGGTATCAGTTGTTGTACCACCATCTAGTGGATGGAGGCCTGCAGTGCACAGGCCAGCCCTCCCCTCTGAGTGTCGTCTGGTCCAACACTAGGCCACTGTTGATAGGACAGCTCCTACAGCATTGGTGGAGTGCAACTGGATTGTGTTGTTTTCTTTCTTGTAAATTTATGTATGAGGTGACTATTTCAATAAAAGAAGGCCATGAACTTTATCTGTAGTGCAGGTGATGAAGAACGGGGAAATAAACGGCTCTAGCGTTTCTTTTCTTGACTGGGGAGTCCTTCCTGGCTTCTTCTAAGAAGAAAGGAAAGGGCATTGTCTTTAAGTAGTTTAAGTGGAAGGTTTTTGTCCTTAAGGTGAGTTGTTGATAGTGATGATGTATTGAATGTCACATTTTGAATTGATTCTTCAAATGGAAGTCTGAGTTGGTGGACTCAGATGGACTGTGTGTATGTGTGCGGCTTAAACTCAGGGCCTGGGCATTGTCTCTGAGCTTTTCTGCTCAAGGCTAGTACTCTACCACTTGAGCCACAGCTCCACTTCCAGCTTTCTATTGATTAATTGGAGATAAAACTCTCTTAGACTTTCAGGGCTGGTTTCGAACTGTGATCCTCAGATCTCAGTCTCCCCAGTAGCTACAATTCCAGGTGTGGGCCACTAGCACTGGCTGAACTTAACTTTGAAATGTGTGTGGTCATTGCAGTGTGGATAACTGGAATTTTTAGCGGCAGTGAATAAATTTGGAAGGGACCATTTAGACCAAGTGGTTTTATTTTTTTTTTAACATGTTTTTATTCCTCTTAAGTAAATTCTTCCAATGGATTGCTGGGTTGAAGCATTGCAGAATCCTTAAATTGTGACTATTTTCTGTGTAGAGCTTGCGTGTTCTCCCTCCCTCCCTCCATCCCTTCCTCTCTCTTTCCCTCCCCTTTTTTTCCTTCTTTTTTTGGTAGAACTAGGGTTTGAACTCAAGGCCTCATACTTGCTAGCCTGGTGGATTCTAGATCTCTCTCGTGTTAGTCATTTTTGAGATAGGCTCTTGCTGCCTGCTTGGACATGTGCTTTGACTTCGATCCTCCTCTATTTTTTGCTTCTTCCTTGGCTCAATTGACAAAGTGCACACTAGGATGTCCAGCTTCTTCTGCTGAGATGGCGTCTTCAGGGCTTTCTGCCCAGCTTAGAACCGTGATCTCCCAATCTTGAGCTCGCACATAACTAGTATGACAGGCATGCTGCCATGCGCCGTTATTGTCTGCTCTTGCTGACTTTGAACTATAATCCTGATCTCAAAGAGCTAGGATGATTTCTGTGAGCCACTGGTGCCAGGCTCTATTTTCTCAAAAAATTTTATGTATTTATTTTTCTTCTGGTTGTCAGTCCCAAGGTTCCAGCTCAGGACCTCACACTCTTACCCATCTTTCTTGTTTATGGTTGATGCTCTGCCACTTGGGCTATACCTCCAGCCAAGTATTTTTCTGGTTAGTTGGACATGGTCTCTTGTAGACTTTTCTGCCCAAGGGAGCTTTGAATCCAGTTCTCCAGGTATCAGCTTCTTGAGCAGCAAGCGTTACAGGTGTGAGCCACCAGGTACCTGCCTCCATTTGGTTATTTTTTCTTCTTCCGGTTTTTTAGTAGTTTCCGTCCTTGTGCTGAAAATCTCTTCCAGTTTACATTTTCTGGCGTCAGCCTTTTGCCCTACATTCCTTATCATGTTTCTGTTTTGTTTAGCTTTTTACCTTTTTGTATGAGTTTTAGCCCAGTGTCCCGGCTATTTCTTTGAATTTCTTGTCTGCTTTCTCTTGATTCCAACTTACATTTTCTTCTTTACACGTTTTTAAAAAATTCTTGACTCAATGCCAGACGCTGGGTATCTGAGGACAAAGCGCGAAGTAACGTTCATGCTTGGTCCATGTCGTGTCTCTCGCCGAGTCAGACTACAGACATAGAGGACTGAGTCTGAAAGGAAGCCTAAACCACGCACTGCTGCTGCTTGAGTTAGACTGAGCTTATCACAAGCTTCGTGTCTCTGTGGGCACTACTAGAACCTTCTCTGGAAGGCTTGGCCCAGGTTCCCTGTTTTGAATTTGGACTTCCTCATGCCCTATTTTTCTCTGCTTGGAATCCTCCTGTCTGAGCTTTTCTGCCCCTTCTCGAGCCACAGTCTCCTCTGTCCTACTCAGATGGCATGGAGGTTCTGAAGGCCTTCTCCATCCTCCTTGCTCGCCCTAGGCCCTTAGCACATGCTTCTCTATGTGGTGTCTCTTCATCCTGTTGGCTCCCTCATAAACCTCTGGCTGGAGCCCCATGAAAGGCAGGTGCGGGCAGGTGGTTCACTCTGTGTGTGTGTTTCCGAGAAGTTCCAAGCGGTTCCACTGGCTTGGACCCCTGCTGTTTAATGTTTGATAAATTCTACTATTTATTCATTTCCAATGACGTCTTTCTTGTCCTGCCTGTTACTCCATGAAGGGGACACACACACACACACACACACACACACACACACACATCTTTCCAAGGTTTGGCTCGCCACTTTCTAGGGGCATCAGTTCACTGGTGTCTTGGCATCTTTGGCTTGGAGATAAGGCTCTGTACAATCTCTTGACTATGTGTTTCTTCCTGTTGGGGGAGGAAGATGGTCTGTCACAATTTCCTGCCATCTGAGGAGAAGCCGCATTAGCAGTGATGGATTGTTCGAACGAATGCTTGCTGAGATGTACAGTCCTGCTGCTGACTGTGTGACAGCCTGCTTGCTGCACGTGCCACAGCTGGCTGGTGGACCAAAGGAAAGTTGCCATTAATAAGACTTCAGCCTGATGAAAACCAGGCAGTATGTGTTTATCATCTCCAGCAAACCTGTGCTTCAGAGATGTGTGCTTTCTGTTTTCCCCAGAAACCCTTATGAGAAGCTTTCTACAGCTGGTGCATTTCTACAGCCTTTCAAGCTCTTTTGTTTGGCTCTGGCACTTTCTCCTCGCAGTAGAATTCAGTACAGATCTTGTAACACTCTGGTTTCATTTCTTTTCCTTTCCCTTGTCCACATTCCTCTTAGAAAAGCATTCGATTATTTATGATAGTTACCATTGTATGTTTTGGCATTGTTTCTTCATCTTTGACCATAGCTTCTCCAGACACAATAATGTCTCATCAGACTTGTCTTATGAATGTTTGTGTTCTTTTTGTATATTTTCTGAATTTATAAGCATAGTGACCTGTCAGGTAAAGCAGAGGTAAAACATGGGTGTTGGATGAGCCTTACTAGAACTTCAAAAGAGGATGAAGAGATACTGGGTAAAGCGTAGAATACAGAAGGTCGTTCCTTAGACTTTCATGCTGGGTCCTGAGAGAGTGTGTGATACATGGCAGTGTCTTGCTATTATTATTACTACTACTACTACTACTACTACTATTATTTTTTTGTTTTGCTTGAGTGAATGAGAAAAGGTTGAGTTGCTGATTTATGAATAGAAATGTGTTTAAGACACAATCTCTGAGTCTCAAATGTCTTAAAGAATCTCAACATGATTATATTGTTAATCCACATATTTTTTTTCTTCATTGAGCTATTTTGGAGAGTTCGACTGCTCTCCAGTTAATGGGTTCAAGTGGTTCTCTTGCTTTAGTTTCCCATGCAGCTGGGACTACAGGAAGGAATCATTATAACTGTCTTAAAATTTTACTTTCAAAGCCGGCACTGGTGGCTCACACCCGTAATCCTTGCTACTCAGGAGGCTGAGATCTGAGAATCTCGGTTCAAAGCCAGCCTGGGCAGTAAAGTCTGTGAGACTCTTATCTCCAAGTAATCACCAGAAAATGGGAAGTGGCCCTGTGGCTCAAGTGGTAGAGAGTTCGCCTTGAACTGAAGAGCTGACACACACACACACACACACACACACACACACACACTTTTCCAAGAGCAAAATTTAAATACATGTAGTTCAGAGGTTCAGTCACCCTCTAGGTGGTGCTCAGCCTTGTTTTTGCAGATGAGGCACTCTGTCCTAAGCCACTTGCACTTTTTGCTTTAGTAATTTTTGGGAAAGGCCTTGCTTTCTCCCTGGGAAAAGACTTGCACATGGATGCTCCTACAAGTGTGTCCCACAGAGCCGGGAACACGGGAGCCTTCCACCACGCTTAGAGGATCAATTTTTTTTAAGTTCTTTTTTTTTTTAATTGTGAAAATACTATACAGAGGGGTTACAATTACATGGGCAAGATAATGAGTACATTTCTTATCAAGCATTGTAGCCTCCTCCTTTGTTTCCCCTTCCCATCCTCCCCCCCTGCTCCCCCTAGAGGATCAATTTTGATCCATTGTGCATTTGCATTCGTAGACAACATGACATGTCTTAAATCAGCAAAGAAGGCCAATTACGTAGCAATTTCAGCCTGGCTTCTCTTTCCAGGTAATATACACTTGAGGATTGCTCGTGCCTTTTTAGGAGGTGATAGCTTATTCCTTTTCAGCTGTGACTAATGTCTGGCTGCATTGTAGTTGATGGATCCACATACTTTTGAAGGCTGTCTTGGCTGCTTGCAGGTTTTTGCAGTTGTGGTACAGCAGCTGTAAACACTCAGGCTGATAATTGGTGCAGAAACAGGTTTTTCCAGCAACGCTGGGTAACTCATCAAGGACGTGATTTCTGGGTCCTAAAAGAACAAGCATGTTTACATTTGCAAGAAACTACCACTTTTCACTCCAAAAAACCTCTGTGCTGGGGGCTGGGGACATTCCCACTGGCAGCAGTGTACAGGCCTCATTTGCATGTTGCACTGATTCTGGCCATTCCGATCGGTGTGTGGTGTCTTGCTTTTATTAGTGTTGCTTTGAGGACCTTTTACCCTGTGCTAACTTGTCATCTGTATACCTGTATGCATATACCCGCAACCTGGCGACCCCGCTTCTAGATGTATATTCAGAAGAATGCAAAGCAGGCACACAAGCAGTATTTGTATACTTGTGTCTGTGGCTGTATTATTGTCGTAGCCAAAATGTGGATGAATGCAAAGTAGTATGGGTATGTGAATTATTAATAAAGTGCAGTATTTATACACCATGGAGTATTACTCAGCGTTAAAAAAGAAGACAATTCTGCCGTATGCTCTACCATGGATGCACCATGACTATATCACACTAAATAAGCGAGTCACAAAATACACAAATCACACACGAGTCACAAAGCACACACCCCTGTGTGATTCCTATGGAGAGATGAAGAATGATTGCACAGAGCTGTAGTTTTGTAAAATGAAAAATAGTCTGAAGGTATATAATAGAGATGGATACACACTGATGTATTTAATGACACTAAAAATGGTTAAGATCTGTGTTTCACATCGTATGTCTTTAACTGCAGGTACACATTAAAACTCCACCCTCGACCCTCCCAGTCCAGCCTTGGGGAATCTTTGTGGAGCAGTGGCAGGGGTTGCCATTAACCTGCCATGTCCCTGGTGTCTTTCAGGCCCGGCGTTTCCCTGACCCTGCAGGCATTTTCAGAAGAAGAAAGGAAGCAGTGGTTGGAAGCTCTGGGAGGAAAAGAAGCGGTAGGAATAACTAACGGCTCCTGGAGAGCGACTTAGATTCTCATCTATGTTATTTTTGTTTTATCGCATTTGAACAAAGTTCCCTGCTGAAACTGGTATTCGAATTCAGCATGCTAGCAGTTTAGCTAGGGAAAATAGCACACAAGATAATAAAACACACAAGACTGGTGTATCGTTAGATCTCAGTTCTGGTGTTTCTTCATTTCGGCTTGACTTGATGAAGTTATCAAAATTCTCCATTTCTTTTTTGCTACCCCTGACAGTCTTTGGGTGATGAGCACTGTGAATATTTGCATTTTGAGCTCAGTGGAGATGGGACAATAAATAAAGAGGCAGCAGTACAAGGAGTGGCCGCCATGATTTCCTTCCTCTATGTGTTGGTGCAGTCGAATGGCTTCCAGTAGGAAGAGTTAACATAGCCTCAACGAACGGGCCTCTGTCTTCAGAAGCGCTTCGCGGGGTAATTAAAGGAAGTGTTGAGATCTGTTGCCATTTTATTTGAGCATGGCTTTTATTTCTGTGGCCTCGCTAGCCTTTACGAATTGAGAATTTGGCAGTTCATGTGTTGAATTGCGGTTGTAGAGAGAATAATTTCAGAAAACATCACAGAAGCAATTTAAACACACTGTGGGAAAGTGTTGAGATTGTGAACCTACTGCCTGAGCAGGTACCAGGTAGACCTGCCTCAAAAGCATTTGCTATTTTTGAAACTTCAGAGATAAATGGGAAAGAGAGTGATTTGAGAAGAAGACAGGGCTCCTGTACAATAATGAGAGATTTCAGAATCGAACTTAAGAAATGGGCTTAGGATAGTGTTATTTCATGCTAACAGAGCATGTTGCTCTGTAAAAGGCCAACAAATGAGGGCGAGGAGGCTGGGGCCTGCACTGAATGCAGCGATCTCATTGTGGTGTCTGGAAAATGAAGACCCGGAGGAATTGTTCTATGAATGGATGCCACATTAGAGAACAGAATGCGCAGTGACCGGATGTGTGCCATACTACTTTAGTTTAGCTATATCTACTTCCTATGGTGTTATCTCCATTTTTGATTCATCTTTTTTTCCCCCCATCCTGGGGGTTGAACCCAAGGATTTGCACATGCTAAGCAAGCACTTTACCACTGTGCCCTCCCTTCCCCAACCCTATGCTTATTTTTATTTTTGGTGCAGTGCTGGGGATAGAACCCTGGCTTTCCACTTGCGAGGCAAGTGTTCTGCCAGCCATCTGTAACCTGCTCCTATTTTTGTCTATTTAAATTTAATTAGGACTACACATGTTTAGCCGGGAGTCAGAGTACCTATAGTGTTGATGGTAACTGAGATCCAAATCAGGTTATGCTAATCCTCTTTTTTTTTTGGCAGTAGTAGGATGAACTAGGGGCCTGGTGCTTGCTCAGCTTGCTTGTTTGGCTCAACCACTGGGAAGGCAGAGTCCTTCCCGCACTTGGTACAGGCAGAATACAGGATGTGTGGACTCACATACCCATGGCTTCTCTGATGCCAGTTCAGAATTCTACAATTCCGTGCCATCAGTTCTGACACCACCTGGAGTGGCAGTGAAAGATGCTACATGACAGGCTCAGGCCCAGATGAGGGCCCTGGCCTTTGATTTTAGTCACAGGTCTGGGCTTTAGAGACAGTCTGGCTATACATTGGGCTTTTCATGCCTCCTTCCTTGAGATTGGTAACAGTGCGGCTTTCAGAACTCAGAGTATACTTGCATATACCACTGTAAGCTACTGGTGACATCTTAGATAGCATGATAGAAGCGATGCTTAGGGCCAGGTGTGCAGTGGGGTGGGGTTGGATGCTGAGCACCTGTACTCGCTGGGAGAGCCCCCTTCCCGGGCTCTGATGTATGCACCAAGCCAAAGGTGTAACACCTTACTTAAGTGTTCACACAGCTTATGGTTGGTGGTCCGTTAGTGGGAGGGGCTGAAGTCCCAACCTTGAATCACTCTGTCTTGCTCTGCCTGATGCCCTGCTGGGCCCTGCACTCCATTGCTTCATTTGCACCCTCTTGGGTGCAGTCAGAGGGGATCTTGATGGAAATCCGAGACTCCTTTCTGCATACTCTCAAGAGTTGAAGAGCTTGGTGGCATACAACAAGGATATGAGGACCATGTGTATTTCTTACATCACATTAATTGATACCATATTTATAAATTTTTTTTTTCATGATTCCCTAAGCATGCTTACATGAATCACTTTATTGCTTTGTTTTAATCTTGTTTTCCTTCTTCTACTAGCTGTTCCATGGTTTGAATAGAGCCATTATCCCAAGACCAGAAGGAAGTAAGTGCTAATTTATACCAATGAGCATTCTTCCCCCTTTATGGAGGCCGGGAGCATTGCTGGGTCTGCTTTTCAGCACTCTGCTGAAGTTAGCTAGCTCTGCCTACCTTATATATTCTCAAAGTGTTGGGGACTCTAGTCCCCATGTGTTTTCCATGAGCTTTCTTCTACCACTTAACCTGGCAGTTTCTTCTTCTTCTTTTTTTTGGTCAGTCATGGGGTTTGAACTCTGGGCCTGGGTGCTGTCCCTCAGTTCTTCAGCTCAAGGCTAGCACTCTACCACTTGAGCCACAATGCCACTTTTGGTGTTCTGGTGGTTTATTGGAGATAAGAATCTCATGGATTTTGCCGGTTTTGAACCGTGATCTTCAGATCGCAGCCCCCTGAGTAGCTAGAATTACAGGTGTGAGCCACCAGCACACAACTGGCAGTTTATTCTTTCAGACATAAATGACAGCATATGCAGCCTTTGTGTCGGGAGTTGTAATAAGGTCCCGTGGGTACAAGCCTTTTCTCAGATCCTTGTTCCCAGCCTTCCTCTCTTCATCCTTTGTAAAAAAACAAAAACAAAAAAACCCAACAATCCTTGGGGCCTGGGAAGGTGGCTCAGTGGTAGGATGCTTGCCTTGCATGCATGAGGCCCTGGGTTCGATTCCTCAGCACCACATAAGCAGAAAAAGCTAGAAGTAGTGCTGTGGCTCAAGTGGTAGAGTGCTAGCCTTGAGCTGAAGAGCTGAGGGACAGTGCCCAGTCCTAGAGTTCAGGCCCCACGACTGACAAAAACAAACAAACAAAAACACCCAAACAAAAACAAAAAAACAAAAACAAAAAACGATCCTTGGGAGATTCCCCACAGAATACTGCTAAAACCTGGTAGTAGGCATATTCAAAGACATTGAATATTATATATATATGTATACACACATAAAGACCCCCTTTGTGTATATACATCTGTGTATATATGTGTGTGTACAGACAGACACACACATATATGTTTTTATACACACACACATATATTTAAATAGTCTCTGGCCCCAATGATTCATATCCAGCAGCATTGGTTCCAGGTTGAACATGTAATTGTTGGGCAGATGTTCTTACAGAGTTTTTTTTTTTTCTTTTTGTATCGTTGTAGGAACAAGGTGCTTGTCTCAGAGTTTTTTCATTCAAGGCTAGCACTCTACCACTTTGAACCACAGCTCTACCTCTGGTTTTCTGGTGGTTAATTGGAGACTTCCCTGCCCAGGCTGGCTTTGAATGGCAATCCTCAGTTCTCAGCTTCCTGTGTAGCTAGGATTACAGGCGTGAGCTGCCAGCACCTGGCTTCACAAGTACTTTTTTTTTCTTTTTTTGCTTATGTGGTGTGCTGAGGAATCGAACCCAGGGCCTCAGGCATGCAAGGCAAGCGCTCTACCACTGAGCCACCTTCCCAGCCCCACAAGTACTTTTTGTGCAAAGTAGCTGTGATGGTTCTCTGCGGGCTGTTGGCTCTGGAGAGGATTGGGGGATGATTTACCAAGCAGTTGTGTGCAAGAATCATTCCTTCATTATCTTTCAGCTTTACCTCCCCCCTACCTTCTTGTTTTTTATTATGATTGATACAAGTGACTCCATTCTGACAGTTTTTATGTTCCTTTCGTACTTTGATACCCTTGGTCCTTACAGCCTGAGTGTAGGCTCTCTGAACATGAAATGACACCATGGAAACATCATCAGCCCAATAACTAAACAGGACAAGGATCTGCACATGTGTAGTACTGCCTGCTTCTTTACTTTTGATACTAGTAAAAATGGACTTACTAGACTCTATGGCTTTATTTTTGATGTGTTTGGAGATGTTAGGTTACATTGACCAGATGTCTACAGTTTGGAAATAATATATTACACAACACAATCTTAAAATAATCATGCTCACTTGTGCTTGAATACAAGGCAGGTATCTTTAGGCTGGGCACAGATGGTTCACACTTGGAATACTAGTTACTCAGGGGGCAGAGATCCAGAGCATCTTAGTTGGAAACCAGCCTGGGCAGAAAAGTCTATGAAACTCCATCTCCAGTTAACCAGCAAATTGCAGGGCTGGAGGCATGGCTCAAGCAGCACAGCGCCAGCCTAGCAAACATGAAGCCCTGAGTTCAACCCCAGTACTGGTGGTGTGGGAGGTTGTGGTGGGGGTAGCATCTCTGGTCCTGGATGCTTCTGTGGTGCTTCCCTTTGTTTTCTTTGCACTTCCTCGTCCCTTCTCCCGATCCCTTTCCCCCCCTTCCCTGCTCCCTCCTTTGCCCTTTCACTCTGCTTGGCAATTTCCATTTTTTATTTATTATTGAGAAGTTTAAACATGTCTTTTGGGAAAAACAGTTTTGCAAAACAGGAAGAGTAGGCATTCTGTAAAACTTGTGAGTAGTAGATTCTTGAACAGTAAATGACTGCTCAGTTTTCATCATTAAAATTCTCCCGAAGCTTACTGTTGTGGATCATGAGCAGAGTTGAGATTCATTGGCTGTTAGGGGGTCTCTGTGAGAGCCAAGGGCTCCTGTTACTGCTCCCTGGGCCCTAAATGCAATGGCATCGAGTGCCATGTTCCTTGGTTTGATTTTGGAAACAAGAATTGTCTTTCATTAGGATGTACAAATATGTTAGCCAAAGTGTAGGCAAACCTTTCTACAAGAAGGACTATAAAGTTATATTTTCACAATAATCTGCTGTACCATGAGTCATCTGTTTTTAATCCAATATGAAAATAATACAGTATTATTTTAAAAGCTTGGAGCAGGGCATAAAACACCACAAAATTTTAAGATCATTCCCACCTATTACATTTAAAAAAGCCTTCCTTAAAAATTTCCTTCCTATGCTTACAAAACAAAACATTTCCTTCCTGTGTTTACAAAACAAAACAACATCAACAAGAATGCTTTCCTTCTTGTACTCTGAAGTAATTTAAAAAATTTTGTATTTCTTTTTTTTTCTAACTGAGCTACTGTTGTAATTTTTGGCAAAATAAATGTTGACTATTTCTAGATTGTTTCTCTTAGAAAATAGTATTACTTTCTTTTTGAATATTTAGTATAAGTGAACCCTCCTGGCAGGCTCTCTCTCAAATACATGAAATCCCCATTTATATCATTTACATGGGGAATTCATGCTCTTGGCTGTTTTAGATAGTGCAACAGAAGTCAGGTATTTAGTTTTCCTCTTTTGCAAGGAAGAGAAATATGGTAAGTGTTCGTGTCCTTAACATCTTGTAACTTTGTTTGTTTTAGGTGCACAGATGGATAAGATGGGGTTCACGATTCTTAGGAAATGCATCAGTGCAGTGGAAACTCGAGGTAATGTGATTGTTCAGCCATTTTATTCCTGAACAGCTACAGACATGTAAACACCTAGAAGTCATTTCAAGCATTTTTTTTTTTTTTGTCAGTCGTGGGGCTTGAACTCTGGGCCTGGGTGCTGTCCCTCAGCTCTTCAGCTGAAAGCGAGCGCTCTACCACTTGAGCTACAGTGCCACTTCCAGCTAGAAGTCATTTCAAATGCCCCTTGCGCGGTTCAGGATGTGAAGTCCTCCATGAATGCACACTCACTCTGGGCATCAGATACTCTGTTTTTGTTCTTCCCATGACGGTGGGGGGTTCTCCTTTCTAATCTCCCATTGAAATATACGGGGGGAACCTTAGATATTTCTTACATTAAACCGTCATTGACATGAGAACTGTTTTATTAGATTTACCCTAACAAAATAGCACAGGCTAGATGGTTGAAACAGCAGACACGTATTTCCTCATCATCGTGGAGGTTAGAGGTCCGGGGATGGAGGCATGGGCAGGCCTTTTTCCTGAGGTCTGTGGGTTGTGGGGAACCACCTTCTCATGTTCTCCACATGGCCTTTTCTGTGTGCACGCATGCTCATGTGTTGCATTCGTGTGTGTGTTCATGTATGCCAGTCTCCTCTCGAATCAGGTCCTTGCTCCGATGACTTCATTTTACTTGGCCTCTACTCTTCCAAACCTATAAAATCTGACCTTTGGCCTTCATCATAAGGACATTGTCAGGGAAACCCTGGTCAGCTGGGAAGAGCATCAGAAGACTCAGCAGTGTCAGGTGCAATCTTGTTCATGCATTTTGTAGAGAGGTTCTGCATCTCCTTTTCCCTTATGTATCCGTATGTTAAAACATCATCTTTAGTGCTGGGAGGTAGCTCAGTGCTCAGTGGAGCACATACCCAGCAAATGCAGGGCTCAGGGTTCCACAAAAAAGAACAGCTATCTTAGTATCACAATGATCACAGGTGAAATTTAAAGACTGGACAAGGGATGAGTTTCAAAAACCATATACTGTTGTGTAAGTCCTGCTGCAGGTGACCGGAGACTTCCTATCCCGGTCCCCATATTGCTTTGTCCTCTTTGGCAGTACTCTTTGTTCCCACCAAGGACTTCAGGCTCTCACCCCCTGAGCCACTGCTTATCCCTCGAGTTCTGCTACAAAAGAAGGAAAAAAAATTTAAATATTGTATCTGGTGGAATCCTGTGGCTTCCAAGTCTTTCAGCTCTGCCTTTATTTAGCATAGTGCTTTTGGATTCCTGTTACTGGCTGTGCATCCTTAACTTCATCTTTTTCCATCGCTGTGCAGATTCCGTTATGTGGATATGCCACAATTTGTTTAGCCATTCATCTCTTAATAAACGTTGGTTGTATTTCTTCTTTGAATTTAAAGAAAGCTCAGCCTGTCCACTGAACTGAAGCCGAAGGGTTTTATTTTGTGGTTTCTAAGGAAAAACCGGGGATTGTACGGTGTGGCCATCCCAGAGTTCTGTGGAGAAATCAAGAGTGTTGCGGACAGGTTGTTTCTGGAGCTTTGGGTTCTTTGTTTAGCATTCCGGGGTGATAGGATCTGTCTAGTCAGACACCTGATTCACGCTGTGGATTGTGGGTTCAATCTTGTTTTGGATGGCTTTGTGGAAGGAAGCGCTGGCACTCACACTTCCTGTTAAAATAGGATCTCTGTCACAAAGGCAGATTGGTACCTGTGAAATCTGGAGTATGGGATAATAGCGAAACTGGAACTGCCTCATGATTTGGGGGTTGGCCCTCCATAATGATGCTCCAGCCACTGAGCCTTCTCTCCCTTCCTGCCAGAGGCAGTTCAGACCTCAGATCAGATTTCTCTCCATTTCGCCCTGTGCTCAAATGGAGCTGGCAAACATGTTCGTCCTACCTGTGCTTCAGAAATGCCTAGGATTTTAATATCTATCACTCAATACTCAGGTTCCTTTCTTTCCGCGATCCTTAAATTAGAACTTTAATCATGTCATCTGCAAGCTTTTTAGTGTTGATAAATTAAATTATTTTCCCAGTGGGTATGTTTTATACATTCTTGTTTCTGCCTGAGGAGGTCAAAGATCCATCTGGAAAGCATTCTGATTGGGATGTGTAGTTTTATGGACCGTTGTACATTGAAGAAGAGGAATAAATTGAAATCTGCATGGTACTGCATGTATCAGTTGTGAGTGTGTCAGTTGCTGTTTATTTTTTAACAGAACAAGTCTACCCTTTTTACATTAAATTTTTGCGATTTAAAAGCACTTTTTTTCCTTTTTCAAATCTTTCGTTCTTCAAGGTCTTTCATTACTGAAATCTTCTGCTTGCAGTAGAGTAATAGAAATAGAGTTTAAAAGTGTCAACAGTCAGACAATCTGATTGAATGATGATGAACACTGTAAAATTGCTCAGGCTTTTATCCAAAAATTGGAAGTTCTTCAGGGTCTTCAGTCAGCCCTCTTGGCTGACCTCTCTCTCCTTCGTTCACCCTATCTCTCCTCCTCCCTCTCTCTTTCTGTATCCTATGAGTGGTGCTGTCTTCCCTCTTTTTCTTTCCTACCAGGACGAAGCTAGTTTGGGTTGCTGTAATAAGAAATACCTAAATTTCGACATCTTAATACACAAAATTTCTTTCATTCATCAAGTATTGGTTTGCGCAGAGTTAGAGAGAGAGGTTCTAAATGGCAGATTGATGGCTGATGCACCATCTTTTTTGTCTACCTGTCCAGTGGCCAGCAGTATTTAATGGTTCCTTCATCTGATTTCCTTAGCACTTTAGAAGGTATTTCGGGCCATGAACAGTGGTGCCTTGATATGCCTCGGGGAATCCAGTGCTGAAGTTCTGAGCCCGTGTCTCCTGAGCCTCCCAGCAATGAATGAGATCTAATGGACCAACTATTTCTAGCCACTTGACCTCAGTGTTTAACATCTGACAGTTACCCTCTGAAAACTGCCGTTTCCATGGGTTTGCTTAGAGCAGTTCACCTTTGGCTTGCCTACCTTTTCTGAACATAACTGGTGTTTTGTTTTGGTTTTTATTTGGGCTGTCTGTCTCTAAAGTGGTTGCAGAGCATCAGCTGTCTTACATTTGCTGTGGTCCTCAGCACCCTGTGAGCAGGTAACGTTTTCAGCGTTATTCTAGTCTTGAGATAAGAGCAAATCCCATTTTACTACCAGTTCAGAATCACTCTCTGGTTTTTATAGTTATTTGCCTAGGACATTGTTAGCAGATTTTTGGATGGAGTCCTGGATTCTTAACATCTTGGCGACGGAAGAATTCAGCTAAGATTTAAAATGTGACAAAAGCAATGGCAATATTTATGGAGGGAGGAAGGCTTATGGAGATGTAGGAATGGTGGATCGCCTCAGAGGAGACATCGGCCCCATCCCTTATGCTTGCCCTGTCATTGCTCATCTGCATAGCGGGGAGAGGGAGAAAAATCCACAAGTTCAAGTAGGTGAAGATGATGTAGCTTTTGCTCCCTTCCTCCTGTCCAGTCTGGAGCCTGGACCTGGGCTGTTCCCACCTTCTTTTCTATAACTGGACATGGGTAACTGCACATCTGATTATCTTAGCCCTGGAGGCGAGTGAGCTGCAAGGCATACATCAAACACGCTCTTGTGTTTCTTTGGTTCATTGTTTATGTCTACCCGATACCTGACAAAGTTACACCGAATGTCTGGCCTCACGTCTTCTGAAGTTTCAGTCCCAGTAGTTTTCTTCAATTTCTTCCAGACGTCAGTCTTAAAATATTTCTTAAGGTCTTGACATAGGCCGTGGCTGGCCTCAAACTAGAAATCTTCCTGTCTGTGCCTTCTGAATAGCTGGGATTGTAGATGTCTTCTACCAAGCTCCTGTGTTATTGGGAAATGGAAATGGGGCCTGTGTACTAGAGAGGTAGGATGCACCATTTTATCTTCAGTGTTGACGGTGTTCTCCTAGATGTTAACTTAAAAGCCATACAGCCAAAATTTAAACAAACAGAACAGAAAAGTCCTGTAGACAATAACACCATTTCTCTTCTTAACCTGAGTAACAGATGACCTATCTGCTTTTGTTTTTAGTTGGAAGCCCGTCAGTTATGCAGTATTGATCGAGCAATCACAGATGTCCATAGCCTTGTTTTGGGTCTCTGGGATACACGTTAAAGGCTGATTCATATCATGCTGAATCTGATAATAGTAGGCAGGACAGAGAGGTTTGCAAGCAATTGCGTTATACCAGGTGATAATATCAAAATGTTACACATTCGCACAAATGAAGAGAATCTTAGTGCTTATTGACATTGGAAAAGACTCATGCTAACTGAACACTGGGAATAGGCTTCCTTAGATGGAGAGGCCAGGAACGTGTGTGGGCATCGAGAGAAACCTCAGCAAAGATGGGAAACATTGTGTGGCTTTTGTTTTAAAAACATCTTTTAGTTACTATTCTTAAGGTAGCCGTGACTTAAAGTTAAAATTTATATGCCACTTCGGTTTGTGAAATTTCTCTTAAAAATCCTCCATATGTGCATCATTTGAATATTCTCTTTAATTTTCTAGAGTATGGCATTAAGATGTTGGTCTGGGCAAGCTGTCAGTGATCAAATTCAGCATTGTAACAAGTGGTGAATTCATGGGAAGGAAGTAGAAAGCCACGAAGAAGATGTCTTGATTTGTTCCTCTTCCGTAAAAGTAATTTCTCTTCATTTGCAAAGCAACATTGCAGCGGTATAGAGAACCTTCTTGAAGTAGTCTTGAGGATCTTTCTCCTTCCCGAGTGTTTTGGGTTGGAGTGGGGTCTCAGGTAGTCTCCGGCAGAAGACAGTCATGTATGGTCTCAGTATTCATCTTGGGAGGCTGGGGGCATACCTAGCCAAGATCTCACACGAATCTTAAATTGCCCAGGGCAAATTCGGTGCAAAAGGAAGAAAAATAAAGAACCAGCTGTCTTGGAAACTGCACCCCGTAAAGTAGGGTATCTTGCTCACTGCCTCTTTTTTAATCAGAATAGGTATGAAGTGAGTGTGGGTGGACCTAGAGGACTGTCCGGTGTGGGAGGGAGCTGGGGAGTCCGACGGTGTCCCCAGAGAATGAAAACGCAGACTCACTTTCTCAGCAAGGCTGGTTATTCATTTTACAGAATTCTGGAAAAGCCACTGGTTTCCACATGAACAGTAGAGATGAACTAATGGAGTGAAGGCTTCCTAAAAGGATAGCTTGCCCCATCTTCGCTACATCCATGTTTTGTTTATGGCTATTAACAAGATATTTCTTCTTGGTTGATCGTAGGGCTTGAACTCAGGGCTTGGGCACTGTCCTTAAGCTCTTTTGCTCAAGGCTAGCTCTCTACCACTTTAAGCCACAGCTCCACTTCTGGTTTTTGAGTGGTTAACTGAAGATTAATTGGAGATTGGCTGGCTTTAAGCCACAATCCTCAGATCTCAGCTTCCTCGAGTAGCTAGGATTCCAGTCATGAGCCACCAGCAGCTGGCATGTTTGTGAATTCTTGTCCAGTTACCTGCTCATGGATTCTCCAGCCTTCTTTTTCTGTTACCATGGTAACGTTCTGCTCTCTTCTTTTTGACGCATCCATGGAATGGGACTGAAGAAAATGTGTAGATCTTTATACAGTCCTTTGGGAGCATTTGGGTTTGGGCACGCTTTCTGAACTGGCAGACTTGGTAAAGCACACTGCTTTAGTCAGGATGGCTCTGGTATGTTTGCATCAAGTTCTGATGAACTGATTTTCTATGAGTGCAGTGGTAAAGAGCATGAAGTCAGTCTTGAGTGGAATCTGAGTTTTAGCACTTATTAACCACAACTAAAATGAAGATAGCCCTTTTTTTTTTCCATTTGTAAAACAGGGTAATGGTAGGGTTCCCTTCCTAGGGTTGTACTCACAGAACACAGACCACTAGGGTTTGGCACAGGCCCAGTGCTCCAGTAAGCATGGGGTATTTGCGCAGAGGGAAATCTCATAATGGAGGCCACTCATAGGGAAGTCCCATTTGCGGTTCAAGGTCTGGGAGCGCAGAGATTTTCAGTGTTTCATTCCTGCTAGCAGTTCATACAGAGAAGTAGATCACCTGGACACTTGGTCTGGCAATTTTATATGGCTTGTGGTTTTTGTTTTTTGTAACGAGGAACAGAATTATCTGGCTTAGCTTTTTAAACATAATCCCATGTCCTATCGTTGTATGAGCGGTAGAATGTCTTCTCATTTGTTTTGTTCTGTTCCTGGGACTTGTTCTCAGGACCTGGATGCTGTCCCTGAGCTTCATTTTACTCAAAGCTAACACTCTGCTAATTGAGCCACAGGTTCACTCCTGCTTTTCTTTTTTCTGGTTTGGGGGAGGGTGTAGTCTATTGGAGATAGAATCTCACGAACTTTACTGCCGGGGCTAGCTTTGAACCTCATGGATTCTCAGCTCTCAGCCCCCTGTATAGCTAAGATTACAGGTGTGAGCCACGAGCACTTGGCCAAGAATTAATATCTTGAGTAGTAAAATGGCCAGAGGACAACAAAAGGGTCACAGCACCCTGGCTTTCCGGTCTCCTGCTCTCATGCAGAAGCCATAGGAAAGAGAAAGTGAGGTTCTTGCCAGATGTTTGCAGCTGCTCTGAGGGGAGGGGCAGGCGGCCTCAGCGAGACTCCTCTCTAGGCCTTTTTCTAATACTCTCATCCCCCACAGTGGGTGCCGAAAATGAGTGTTGCAAAAAGCCACAGACGACTTTTGCCTCCAATCTGAATCTCTTTCTAATTTATACTAGTAAAATTTTTTTGCCACTACTTAGACAGGAAGCTTTGATGGATTGGATCATAAGTGTATTTTTACTTGACTGCCCCATGCATTCCAGTTTACTTTAATCTGTAGACCTGTTTCCCACATCTCATAGGTTTGATAGACTGTAGTAGATACTTGCGGGGTGTTTTCTATAGGAAATATACTGGAGGAAAATGTGGTGCAGAGGTGGTTTCTGTTCTCCGTGATTAGGATCTGTCTCAATTAAGATGGTGAGGCCTCTGAGGGTTTACTCTACTTTGGGTCTAGTTGTGGATCCCGAACTCTGGGCCTGGGCGCTGTCCCTCAGCTCTTCAGCTCAAGCCTAGTGCTTTACCACTTGAGCTGCAGCGCCACTTCTGGCTTTTTTCTTTTT